AGGCCGAACAGAAGTTCCAGTCCCCCGGCGGGCCGCGGGGCGGGCGCCAGGTCATCCAGTCGCAGGCGGCTCAGCTCCTCTCCGCCGGGTCGTGCCGTTTGGCCGGAATGACGCGCGAAGTGACCGGAGCAGCGCCCGGTCGCGCCCCTGAGGGCCGACAGCAGCGCCATGGCCGAAGCCCCCTGCTATGTCCTCAAGAGCTGTCCCTCCAGGCGCCCGAACACAGGTTACGGGGACCCCACGGCCGCACCCACCCCGCCTCCTCAGAGAAATGCACAGCCCGGGCTCGCAGCTTGAAGATCGCCTAAAACCAGGCAGCGGGCCCACCAGCGCCTCCTTCCTGACCCCCACGTGGGCCGCTCCGCTTCCGGGTTCGTGCGACCCCGCCCCCTGCCCTGCGACACGTCGCGCATGCTCGGCTGCCAGGCAGTCCTACAGCGCCGCCTGCAGGGCTGGCTGGGCAGAGACCGCCGCCGCACGGAAGGCGGCGGTCAGAGCTGAGCTGACCCTGCTGCGGCCTCCATTCTGTGCCCTTCCGAGGTCCCAGGAAGCTGGAAGGTCGCATTCACCCAGGCACCTGCTAAGAACACTTTAAGGGGATGTGTTCAACCAGGTCAGTCGTGGTGCTTCTCTCCCCATCGGATGCTGATTTTCCTCAGAAGCTTCTCCTGCATCCAGCCCCTCCCCTGCACTTCTGCCTTGTCAAACCCTCAGTACCAGTTAGCAGTACTCAGCAATAATTTCCTATCCTGCGGTGGCTGATTCTCTGAGGGACAGCTCTGTGCCTGCCTTGCACCTGCTGACAAGCCGACTGATGCCCCTGGCCCACAGGTAATGGCCAGACTCCTTGCTCAGCACTCAGACCCCAGGGATCCAGGCTCTTCAGCCCCATCTCACTTCTGCACTAAGTTCTATGCCGTTCCCACACTGTATGCTCTTTCTGGCCTCTGAGCCCTGAACATCTCTTCTTTTCTGGCTGGCAAACTCCTACCATTTCCAGGACCCAACCCAAGCCCACACCTGCTACCTAAGGTAACTCACACTCCAGGAGTGAGGCTCTAAATTTGCCCACTTCCCACTGACCTGGGAGAAATTCTAACACAACCACCCCTGATCACAGAGAAAGGAGAAGAACTGAAAGACATCCATGAAGCCAAGGTCAGTTGTTGCAATTTTTCTTTTTTAATTATCACACTGAAATCCACTCGGGAGGCAGGTCCTGGTGTTGTGCTGCCACAGACAGAGTAGAGTGATGACCCCCACCAGGGGCCAAGAAGCCACAGTTAGGCTGGAGAACTGGGATGAGGGAAGAGAAGGGATGGTGGAGGCAGTGGGGCAGGGAGCGGAGGAAGCTGGAGCCCTGGATAACCACTCAGATAAAAAGTGAGGGTTTCCCTCTGCTACCTCACCCCTGAGTGACAGGGGGTGGAGTGCAAGAAGATAGGGGGAGCCACCCTTCAGGCCAAAGGCCCTTCCCCAAGTCAAAGGGAAGGGACCAAGGATGGCACTCAAAGGCCAAGGAGCCCAAAAAGGGGACCAAGAATGAGTTAACCGGTGAAATAATTAGGAACACCACCTCCTCTCCCCAGTCCACTTTTCACATTTGTGGTGGAAACAAATGGACAAGTTAAAAAAAGACTTAAGGCAAATTTTCAAACCCCTGGTAGGGATGGAGAAAGGAAGTGGAGTCCAGGAGTCCAGAAATTAACACCTACAACCCAGAGGCCTAAACCAAGCCGCGAGGGTCAGGAGGGAAGAAGGAGCTCCCCACAGGAAACTAGGTCACCTGCTCCGTGGGCCTCATCTGGATGTCTCCGATCTGCAGAAGGCACAAAGGCTTGAGGCAACCAGGACACTCTGTCCGCCCCCTTTAAGGCCTCCCTGGTCTCCTCCTCTGGGAATGGTTGGGCTTCTCCATGGGATAGACAGCCAATGCCAGACTTACCTGGACATGTGGAGGGGTGCTGAGGACATAGATGACAGCCTCAGCCACATCTTCAGGTTTGAGACACTGAGAGCACCAGGGGAAAGGGGGATTGACATGAGGACAGAATGAATCCAAGTTCCCTCCCACCACTGAGGTCCTCTCCAGCCTCCACATTCCCACCCCAACCCTCCAGGAGGGGCAACAGGCTGGCCAAAAGGATGGGGTCTGAAGGCCAGGGTTCTTTTCCCTCTGCCCTCATTTAGAATGAGTGGCTTTGCCAAGCCCAGAGGTAGGCCCCACCTTTATGTTTTCATAGGTGGCAGCTGCCTTCTCAGGGTCCTTGTCATGAAGTTTGAAGGCGAATTGTGTCTCCACCAATCCTGGAGAGATGCACTGGACCAACAGAGAGGGCCTGCTCAGGAGCTGAGCTTTGCCCCAACCCCACCCCAATCAGAGGCCAGGCCTTCGGGAGGTTGGAGAGAAAGGATGGAAGCCACAGGGCCCCAGCTTCACAGGGATGGCTGCCCCATGTCCAACAGCTGCCTCCTCGCTCCAAAGCTGCCACTGGTGATGATCACAATGATATCTACCATCTACAGAGCCCTTACTATAAGCCAGGTAGATGTTTTACAAAATGTTCTCTTAAAAAAAACCTCATAACCTGATAGATTATCATCATCTCCGTTTTACAAATAAGACTGAGGCGTGGAGAGGTTGAATAAGTTGCCCAAGGTCATTTGTCCTTCAAGGAAAGAACCCAGAGTGTGGTTTCCAGCCATTGTGCTGGTTTCCCACAATCTCTTGCCAGCCCCCTCCTACCTCAAAGTCACTGAAATAGGAGACTCAAGTACTGAGCAGGGCCATGCAAGTAGCGGCAAAGACCAGGAGCTCTATGCCCAGTATGCTGGTAGGGGTTCTAAGCGGCATACCCTGGACATGGGCTCCCTGGGCAGTATGTGTGGGGGTGGAGAGCGCCTGTGCCTATCCCATCCCACCAGGGCCAGGCCACACCCTCACCGTGGCTCGGATGTGGGACTGGGCCTCCCGAAGCTCTTGCCTCAGTCCCTCTGTCAGTGCAGTGACGGCGTACTTGGTAGCACTATAGAAATGGACCACAGACTGGGGCGACACTCGGTGGCCAGACATGCTGGGTAGAAGGAGGGAAGGGGAAAGAAGAGAGTGATGCTCCCAAGAGACCAGGAGTGACCCCTGCTGTACTAGTCAACCCCACCATCTAGATGCTACAGGGAAGCCTCCAAAAGGGGACCTCTGGAGGCCATCCTTGCGGCCCACTAATCTAGCTTCTGTTATTCAAGCAGCTCCTGAAAACCCTACTCTTCTAGGCATCTTCCCTACACCGACCACAGAATCCACTCTCTTGGTCATGCAGGCTGTCAAAAATCTCTCGATTTCCTCTGCGCGTCCATTGGTATGGTTCAATTGGACCATCTCTGGGGGCAGAGACCATGTCCTCCTGCTCAGAGTATCACAATGGTACTGTGTAGTCTTTCTTTGTACCACAAGGTGGGGTTCATTCCAGGACCTGAGGAATGGAGAACCTCAGTGCCAGGAGAGCCCCCAGGCTTCTGGTGCAAAGACAAGGGGCTGAGCCGCTCATTCCAGCCAACCAGGGCTGGCACTTGACATACACTATTCTTTCCCTCACCGTAATCATGCCATTGGGTTTTAACTGAGTATTAAATCCCTACTTTACCAAAGAAACGAGTCCCAAGAGGTCAAATGAGCTACAGCAGATCACCAGCTTGGAGGGTGAGTGCTGATCTGCGCGCTAGCCCTCGGCCAGCTGTCTCACCTATTGATGTTAATGATGTGCCCGTCGTCCACCTTCCGCTCCTTCATGGACTTGTAGGCTTCCCGCGTGCAGATGCTGAGGGCCAGCACATTCACCTGCAGGCCAGGGGGGCAATGGGGTGTCTCCAGCTTGGGCCCATCTGAGCAGGTGATGGAGCCACAGAGAACCCCTGGGGGGCATTCCAAAACAGTGTCTAGGTCCTACCAGAGACCAACAACGGGCTCAGGGCACCTTGCTGTAGAGGTGTCCCTCTCCCAAAGCCACCAGCCCCAGCGGACATCAGAGGCAGCTTCTCTCCCTGGGTGACCCCCAACTTCCTGCAAACAGGCATGGAAATCCCCCAAGCCCCACCCATGACCCAGGAACCCTCCATGTCTTGGCTGCCTCCACTGCAAACAGTAGAATCTGCCTCAGGGAACTGTCTCCTTTTCTTCCCCAAATACCCTCCTCTTCTCTGGGACAGCGCCCTGATCCTGCTCTCTCCTAAACAGCCTAAACTTCCTACAATGGCTTTAAAAATCTCTCTCCTCAAGCAGACCTTAGCCTCTCCCCACCTTACTCTGCTATTTGTTCCTGTCCCGTCCCCTCCCTTGAGACTACCAGTAGAGAAGGCCTGACTCTCCTTCAAGCTTTGTCCCATCTACAGGACTAGGCACAGAGACTCTTAAGAGGGTGGAGTAACTTGTCACAGGATGGCAGGGGACCTCCCAAGGGTGTGGGGGCCTCTGCCTTCCTTGGCCCCTCTCTGCCCACTCCTACTTGCTCAGCAGAGGTGACCCCAAATCCCTACCTTTCATGGAACTGAGGCCTGAAGAAGTGTTCCTACTCTAAAGCTCCTGCCCAGCCCCACCCCTTAGCTTTACCCAGGAGGACAAGCAAAGATAAAGCTTTTAGCAGGTCTTCCTGTCTCGCCTCTCCAGAAGAGAGAGGACTGGCTGGGAGATTAGATGTTTCTCTTTATCAGGTGTCGGAGCCAGGCATCGGGACAGAACACCCTGGGTGTGAACCTGCCTTGGCATTCACAGAAGGACACAGGAGGCTTTCAGCCCTGTTTCTGGCCCTCTTAGCAAGGTGGCTTTGTGGGGCAGAGAAGTCAGCTCCTGAGGACAGAAGGAGCAGGAGAAACAGATCCCTTGAGGTCGGCAGAGTAAAATCTAGGTCTGGGGGTTAGGGATGGGAGTGGAGAAGATGCCTCATAGGATGATCCCAATAGAATTACATAATGTTCAAGGTGAATGGGGCCTTGGGGATTTAATACAAGGCCCTCACTTTACAGACGGGCAAGCTGAAATTCCATCTATAAGACGTGTCTCTCTCACATCAATGTTTTTTTGGGGTGAGAGACCCACCCACTGCAGGTGAGGACCACAACTCAGATCTTCCAGAAGGCTGTGAGGGCAAGGAGAGTGCTTCACTTTCACTGTTCACTGTTTCAATGTTTCAATGTTTCATTTCCTGGCCTAAGCACCCCTTAGGTGCTAAAGCTACTGTGAGCAGATATGAAAACAGTTGTGGGGAGAAAGACACATCCCATTTACACACTCAACTTCTCAGAATACTTTCACACCCTAATACTGCCCCATGATACAGTCCCGAAGTTGAAAACCCAGTTCCTGCAGGCTCTGTGTTTGGGCCACACTTCATTTTAAAGCATTTTAAATTCATTACAAGGTTTCATTCACTCAAAAAATATCTATTGAGTGTTTCCAGGCTGAGGCTATAAGAGAATAAAACAGACCAAAGTCCTTGCCCTCGTGGAACTGAAGTTTCAGTGAATGGGAGGGATGAGTGTCACATAAAAATCCAGGCTCCCCTCTTCTCTCAGAGAAATAAGATCTGGCCACACTGGGCCACGCACTGCCCTACAGCAGTGACACTGGACTTCAGCAGTGGCTGTCCCTGTACATGGCCGTGTGCTCTGTCACTTACTGCACACCCTACCTGACCTGCCTCATCATTTATGTACCTATCTGGCCGCAGGAGACACTGGAGTTTGTGACCCCAGATATTGATGGTATAGGTGTGTTCATCCCACTTAAATGTAACAAAACTGAAGCTCAGAAAGGGTAACCACCTGCCTGAAGCCACACAGGTACTGGCAGGGCTGGGTAAGAACATCGTCTCCTGTCTCTTGGTTCCTTTTCTTCCCATAAGACCATGTCCCCAAGCACTCCACACTGCGCTGATATATGAGGACATTCAATAAACAGCAGCTCTCTCCCCTACTGATCTCTCTTCCAATAGAAGGACTCAGCCTAGACTTTAAGATCTGTGCCCAGGGCCTCAAAGTAAAGAATGGAAAAGGTATGGCCATTTGTCCACTCTGGCAGGGAAAGAAGCAAGGGGACAGTCCCAGGTAGGAACCCAAAGCTCCCTCTTGCTACTTGTCCTATCCCAAGCAGCGCTCTGGTTCTCAAACCCTCGACTCCCTGCCATCCTCCCAGCCCCCACTCCGGATCAGCAGCCCTTACATTGAACATGTCCTTCCAACCGCTGGTGCTGCCCGAGAGCAGGGTGTCAGGCCGGGCCAAGCCAGCATTGTTGATGCAGATGTCCACACCGCTGTGCTGAGAGCGGACAGCCGAGAACATAGAGAGGATGTCCTCTTCATTTGACAGGTCACATCTGTAGGGGATCAAAGTCCCGGGGTAGCCTGCACTCTTACATTCGGCAGCCAGCTCCTATGAAACCCAACAGGGATCTAACTGGGGTGAGCTGCTCACTCCCACACCTCCCCAGCCAGAGACAACCTCCCTCCGCTGTCACCACTTATAGAACTCTCTCATTTGGTGGCCACCTTTTGGTCACATTGATGTTGGGACTGCCCATCCCCAAAGCTTGTCCTCTTTGGTCAAAGTCCAGGGGATGAGAGTGCTCGAGTGAGGGAGGGGAAAGCTGAGATTATCCACGGAGGAACCTCACAGATAAACGAGTCTTCAGTTCTAAGAAGAAAGAAGGGCTGGAGCTCCGAGGGGGCCAAAGAAGGGGGCTAGGGACCCTGGGAATGGAGTGATATTTATTTTCTGCCTCTCCCCCAATAGGAACACCTTCTCTGCTCATAGGTAAGACGTACCCCACCCCACCCCATACTTCTTCCGCCAGTTCCAAGAACCACTAAGCTGGTTATGCCAGGGCTTCCATCTCTTCTCTCCCATCACCTCATCCAGGAGGGCTTATGTCTGAATTATCACCCTCCCTCCACAAATTGCAGCCAGTGGCTCAGAGTTCTCACACATACTTTTCAGTCTCCCTTCACCCTACCTATCGGAGGGGTCACGAAGTCAGGACAGATTCTTTCTCTGTCCCCTCCACCCCAAAGTTTCTCTGGAGACTATGAGGCAAGTCGGGTGGCAGGGGATACTGGCACCCCCTGTGCATTGCCAGGGTCCTCAACACACTGAAGAGCCCCAAGAGAGAGAGAGAAAGACCTGAGAAAGCAGAGCCACTGAGATGACTGTAAGGAAAGCTGACATTCAGAAGCAAGGAGAAACAAGCCATGTAGCCTTGGAGGCCAGTGACTGGGCACCTGAGTCTCATGAAGGTGACTATGTACATGTGTGGGAGGGAGAGGATTGGGGGTGTGGGGTGCCCTAGAGGAATGCCAGCTTGGCGAGCTGCCCTGGCCTTGCAGCCTCCCTCCCCCCAAACCAAGCTGGGAATAAATGGCTGGATCAGGTGACCTAGGAAATTCTTTTCTGCTTTAACTTTCCAAGTTTAAAAGGTATAGTCTTCTGGGACTCAGAAGACCCCCTTCACCCAATTTTACTTACACGCAACCACCTCAGGAAATAGGGCTGCCCTCTGTAGGAGGCCAGAACTTAAACTTTTAATATCGATCAATCCATCAATAAAAGCAGACTGTGGGCAAGGAAACCTGGAATTCTCCCCACCTGGCAGGCAACTTTTCCCTTCCTCCTCCAGACTCAAAGCCCCCACAGGGAAGCCAGAATAGAGGGACTGAAAATGTATTTCTCTCTGTCACTGCCTTCTGATTGCCCCACCTGTCCCCATCTGTCCTCAAAAATGACCTGAAATCATGTCCGTCTCCTCACAGCACAGGCACTCTCTCCTCATTAAAGGAGTCACCATGGAGCTAAGTGTTCAGCTTGGGGATTCCCTTGGGGCTCCTGAGCCCCCTTTCCTGGCTAGTTTTGGGGAGGGGCAGTAGGGAGAGAAGGCAAGAGTGGCTTTAGAATTAGGGAATCCACTGGTCTTATCCCTGGCCTAGTCCTCTAGGTTACAAGGCTCCTAAACTTCAGGAGAAACGGAAGGGCAGAGTGGGGCAATGGTGTAACCAGGTGACCTTGGGACTATGTAGGAGGCTATAAAATATACCTTTGGTCAGTGGCAGGGGAGGGGACAGCCCTCCTTCCTGTACTCCTCCTCCCTCTGCCCCCACCTGAGGCCTCCTTACCCTTTCCCTGCCCCGGGATGTCGACCGCTGGTGAAGATAATGCCCTGGAGCTAAGCATCAGCCCAACCCCTGAGAGGGATATTGCCCGGCAAATGCAATGAACTATAATGGAAATTTCTCCACCCCTTCCACGCTCCAACGTGGCCAACTTCATTTCATTTGTCTCTGAGCTGTTGCTCACAATTTGATCCCCAGCCCCACTTTTAGAGGAAACCGGGAGTTCCCTGTCCACACTGCTTTGTCCCATCCAGGCTCGCGGGCTCAATGCCCTCCTTCACCTGCTCAGTCCCACCCAGGACAGGGAAATTGGAGAAAGGCCTACCTGTAAATATTCTATTGTCAGCCCTTTATGCCCACTGGGTAGGGGGTTAGCCCTCAGATTTGGGGGGCTGGGGAGGGTAGCCTGTTTTTGTTTTGCAGAAAAACTCCACTCCCACCTCAACCCCAACCTCAGATGGGGGGGGGGGAGAGCACCATCAAAACCTCTAGCTTCTGCTCTTTGCTTGGCTTTGTGGGCTCAGTCTGGGGACCAGAGGAACCAATCCAGTAGCCAGCTTAGCCACCGAGCCCAGAAAGCTCTTTCCCTCCTCCCAGGTCTCTGGTTCCCCTTCCCTCAGCCCACCCGAGCAGGCAGGCAGGGGAGCGGGAGAAAGATGCCAGAGCCGGCCCTTTGGTACAGTGGGGTGGGGCTTCCGAGGAAAAGGCCCCTTCTAAGAGGGCACTTGGAAAAGCGACGGCAGAGGCCTGCCCTGAGGCACCCGAGAGGCCTCTCCAGTCCCTAAGCCCGCAGCAAATGGCCCTGGCGTGGCCCGCGAGCGAGGGCAGCGTCACCGCCCGGCTCCGGCCACTGCCCCGCCCCCACCAGGACCCTACCCCGGCGAGAACGACGCCTCCCGGGCAACCGGCTCCCCGGCCAGGCCTTACCTCTATGTTGCCCACGGTGCGGGCACAACCCACCACCTTCAGTCCCTGCTGGACCAGGGCCCGGGCCACGGCCGCGCCGATG